TATAAAAGAGTGATGCTCCTTTAATTCATTTCTAAAGGAGACTCCTTTTGGAATGTTTTAGTGATATTAGATCGGATCAATCTATATCCATATTTGATTTATTTAGTTAACGGATTATTGGATTTGAATCTCGATTGGATTATCGGATTAAAATTCTAAATCCATCTCCCATTAATTTCGTCGGATTCGGATTAGATTCGGATCAAATTGAAATATATTGAATTTTTAGCATCAGACGTGACGTAGTGCTGATAAACCAAATACACATTAAAATATAAGTTTTTTTTTTATGTACATTGTGATCCGTAATTGTAATAATTTAAAATGTAAGCATTTTTTTAAACATTTATAATACTTTAATTTTTATGTAATTGTATAATAAATAACTAATTACTCTTAATTATATATATAACACACTATAAATAAATAAAATTGAGGAAATCAGTGACATATTATAAATAGAGAGTACATACAATTTAAGTAGATATTACATATTCGTCGGGTCAATTTTCATGTAATCAATAACATACTATAAATAGAGAAAATTGAGGAAACCAATAATATACTATAAATAGAGAGTACATACGATTTAAATAGATATTACATATTCGTTGGGTAGAGAGTAACATACTATAATCGAGAACTTCCCACTCGACTTCATTTAGTAGAAGAAATATATTTTCGACATTCTTGAATAATGTTCGATGTCTTGAAAATGTGATCATGCCTAATATTCGACTTCCATTTCTGTTAGATATTCTTATACATCATGTGATTTATGTTCTAGTTAAATATTAAATAAATAATTTATGTAACCAATTAAGATAATTAATTAATGAGATATTTAAAGAATAAATTAAATTTAGTCTTAATTTTGTATTCGAATAAGTGATTAAATAAATAATTAATTAAAGTAAAGAAATATTAAATAAACAATGTACATAACCAGTTAAGATAATTAATTAATGAAATATTTAAAGAAGAAATTAAATTAAATATTAATTTTTATTTGAATAGGTTTTAAAATAAATAATTGAATAAAGTAATTAAATATACATAACCAATTAAGATAATTAATAAAGAAATTTTTAAACGAGAAATCAAATTCAATATTGGATAATTCTACATATACTAATTTATAATGATGTCCATAGTGTGTATGTGAAATTTTGTGAGTAAATGATCGAAAAAACTGTTTTTCAACTCTTCAATAATATTATGGCACTTGCACATTATGGTATAATGTTTTTATTTAAACAAGCAATTAAAATAAAGTAATTAAATATTAATGACTAATAATATACATAACCAATTAAGATATTTAATTACTGAAATATTTAAATAATTAATTAATATTTAAGAATTAATTTTTTATTCAAATAAGTGATTAAAATAATAATTTAATAAGGTAAGGGAATAGTAAATACATAATATACACAATTAATTAAGATAATTTATAAATGAAATATCTAAATAAAAAATTAAATTAAATAAAAAAATTTTATTTAATTGAGCGATTAAATAAATAATTAAACAAAGTAATTAAATATTAAAATAAAGAATATACATAATTAACTAAGATAATTAATTAATGGAATATTTAAATAAGAAATTAAAATAAATACTAATTCTTTTATTTAAATAAGTGATTAAATAAATAATTAAATTTTAAATACATAAAATACATAACCAATTAAGATAATTAATTAATTAATGAAATATCTAAATAAGAAATTAAATTAAATATTAATTTTTAATTTAATTAAGTGATTAAATAAATAATTAAACAAAGTAATTGAACAATAAATAAATAACATACATAACTAATTAAGACAATTAATTAAATAAATATTTAGATAAGACATTAAAATAAATATTAATTTTTTATTTAAATAAGTGATCATTTGAATAAAGTAATTAAATATTAAATAAACAATATACATAACCAATGAAGATAATTAATAGAGAAATATTTAAACGAGAAACCAAATTAATTTTTTTTTTATTTGAGTAGGTGTTTAAAATAAATAATTAAATAAGGGCCAATTAAGATAATAATTAATGAATTATTTAAAAGAGAAACCAAATTAAATATTAATTTTTTATTTCAATAAGTGTTTAAAATAAATAATTAAATAATTTATTAAATATACATAATCAATTAAGATAATAAATTAATAAAATATTTAAATGAGATATCAAATTAAATATTAATTTTTTATTTAAGCAAGTGATTAAATAAATAATTAAATAAAGAAATTAAATATTAAATAAATAATATACATAACCAATTAAGATAATTAATAGAGAAATATTTAAAAGAGAAACCAAATTAAATATTAATTTTTTATTTAAGCAAGTGATTAAATAAATAATTAAATAAAGAAATTAAATATTAAATAAATAATATACATAACCAATTAAGATAATTAATAGAGAAATATTTAAAAGAGAAACCAAATTAAATATTAATTTTTTATTTAAGCAAGTGATTAAATAAATAATTAAATAAAGAAATTAAATATTAAATAAATAATATACATAACCAATTAAGATAATTAATAGAGAAATATTTAAAAGAGAAACCAAATTAAATATTAATTTTTTATTTAAGCAAGTGATTAAATAAATAATTAAATAAAGAAATTAAATATTAAATAAATAATATACATAACCAATTAAGATAATTAATAGAGAAATATTTAAAAGAGAAACCAAATTAAATATTAATTTTTTATTTAAGCAAGTGATTAAATAAATAATTAAATAAAGAAATTAAATATTAAATAAATAATATACATAACCAATTAAGATAATTAATAGAGAAATATTTAAAAGAGAAACCAAATTAAATATTAATTTTTTATTTAAGCAAGTGATTAAATAAATAATTAAATAAAGAAATTAAATATTAAATAAATAATATACATAACCAATTAAGATAATTAATAGAGAAATATTTAAAAGAGAAACCAAATTAAATATTAATTTTTTATTTAAGCAAGTGATTAAATAAATAATTAAATAAAGAAATTAAATATTAAATAAATAATATACATAACCAATTAAGATAATTAATAGAGAAATATTTAAAAGAGAAACCAAATTAAATATTAATTTTTTATTTAAGCAAGTGATTAAATAAATAATTAAATAAAGAAATTAAATATTAAATAAATAATATACATAACCAATTAAGATAATTAATAGAGAAATATTTAAAAGAGAAACCAAATTAAATATTAATTTTTTATTTAAGCAAGTGATTAAATAAATAATTAAATAAAGAAATTAAATATTAAATAAATAATATACATAACCAATTAAGATAATTAATTAATGAAATATTTAAATAAGAAAGTCAATTTTAATTTGAGTAATTGTTTAAAATAAATAATTAAATATAAAGTGAAAAGTATTTGGTTTTTAAATTTGTAGCTTAAGGGTATTTTTTGTTTTTTGAAACAAAATTCTATCTTTGTAATTGTATAAACTATTTAAGGAAATTTTTGTCTTTTACTCAATAAAAGGCCATTTTGATGATTGACAAAATTTTTTGCTTAAAAGAAAAAAATGACTCCTTAACTTGGCCAAACTAAAAATTACTCGTACTTTTTACTTGACAGCAATTATTGGGACACACCAGTTTTTGCAGTAAAAGCACTACAAATTTTGTACTGCTACATTTTACTGGACAGCAATTATTGGGACAAACTTTTAATTTTCAGTTTCATAAAAGGAAGCAAAAGTTAAAAAAAGATGATGATCAATTTGGTTGATTCAGTTATGCGTTTGATTTAGTTAAACAAAGTAAGGGTTCAAAATTTCAGCTGCTTGAATCTTTATCTAGAGGTCTAAATTAGATAAAGCTGTTGTCTATTTCGAAAACTTCAATGTCTACTGATGTAAGAAGCATTTTGCCACTACAAGAAAAATGATATTTTCATAACTAATGTTTCAACGACCAAATCAATATAGTCGTTAAAAATCATTTTCAACAACCAAATTATATGTTTCATCCTAGAAATTGGATAATGAAGAATCGAATTTAATTTTGGTTGGAAATATCCTATAACGACTGAAAAAATAGTTGTTAAATCTATATCTTCAACGACCCAATTAAAATTGGTCGTTGTGAGTGGGCGCCAAATAAAAAAGCCCTGCCAAAATATTTGTTCATATTCAACGACAACAAAATTGGTTGTAAAACACACAAATAATATAGTAAATATTCGACGACCATGATGTTTGGTCGTTAATATAGTAAAACAATAACTAATTTTATCTCGTTGTTGAAATCAAAGGAAAATGTGACATTTAACAACTACTTATTTAATATCGTTATAGGTGACATTCAACGACCGATTATGTTTCAGTCATTGGAAGTTCATAACAACTTGGTTACAACTTTAAGTTGGCTCCGAAATAATTTTCGACATACCAACTAATATGACATAGTCGTTGAAGCCTTGAAGGTGGCATTCAACGACAGATTAAATTATAAGTGATTTTTATTCCTTTTAATTTGTTTCCTTTCATCCTTTGTTATCCTATTTCCTTATTTCATATTCTACAGTCACGTTTTATGCAAACTCTTCAATAATCTAAATCCAATTGAAGATTCATTCTCGCTTCCATCTCTCAAAAAATCCAATTGAAGCTGTCGTTCTCCCTCCGACATTTAATTTTGCTTCTTTCTCGTGGATTTGGCTGTCTCAATGACCAATTTCCTATTCCTCTGTATCAAAAGATATGTATTTCATCTTAAAACATTGATAAATTTAAAAGTCGAGATGGTTTGGATTTGATCTTTGCGTTAAAATTTTTTTTTGCTACTGAATGAAGTTAAAAAGAGATGGTTTTGGGTTTTGCTTGTTCATAAATGCAATAGAACAGGGTAGATTTCTTTGGGCAATTTCTCCATAGTGCAATTTTAATCAATTTATGCACTTGTTGTGCATTTGAAGCTTGTACAGGATAAAGATGGAGATAATGTAAAAGTCTATAGGAAAGCCAAAGGCAACATCAACCTCTCCCATCTAAGAAACTTCAATTCCCTTTACGTACATGAGGCTTATGTTTGGAAGGAAATTAGGTTTATTTATTTGCAAAAAACATTTACATTAGCAGAGAGTATTTTCTATAAAGCAAGTGTTTGATGATTTGTCTAAAGGATCTTCTAGGTGCAAAATGTTTGAATTTTCGCAATGTCCATATAGTAGTACATCATGTCATCGAATTTCAAATTCCAAGTCCAAACTGGGGTGATTAATTTATTCCAGTGCTGGCATCAACTGTGAAGAATTAACCTAATAACAAACTAGCACAATAAGTTTCAGTTTCTAAGTAGAAATTTAGAAGTATTAAGCTATTGAGAAGTAACACATAATACGGTTGTGCTTCTAAATGAAAATATTAGGAATATAAAAATATTAAATTAAAAAAGGAGAAATTATTAAAGAGACAGGTAAAAAAAAATAATTTGTGTACCGACTAGTGTGCTCAAATGATGATTGTCAGATTAGATGAGCATGATAAAATCTGATTCGTTTCATATATTAGCATCATCTGAATACAATTTATTTTTTTGAATGACGAGCATGTTCGGCTGAGCTTAAAGTTTACTTATAAGTAAATAAGGATTTTTCTATGTTTATTAAAGTTGTAAATACGTAAGTTACTTAATTTGATGATAAGGTAAGAGTTACTTTAACTTACTTAGTGTTTGAAAACAAAAGGTTACTTAAAAGTGATTTTAAATTATTTTGAAGCTTAGCCAAACGTGCTCCATATTGAGACCAGCAGAACCAGACAAAACTAACCTTGAAGGGAGAAGTCCTTGAGGCTAATATGACATAGGTTATAGGCATTTCTGGTAATGTTTGCTTTCCATAATTTTACTCCAAGCAGTGCAGCACAATTTAGAGCTTGCAAGTTGGTGACAAAGCTTTGCCTTTGTAGCTAAGACACATAGCTCTCCACACCATTGCAGCATGCCATCTAGTTACATATTCCATCACCACAGCCACTTATGACAGGGCTCACGTTGGGAAAATTCAGAGGGCAAACTGATGCAAGAATTACATAATCTCTAAATAATTTCATAAAAAGCAACCGCAAGGTATTTTCATGGGAATGAGGCTTGGGAATGTATTCTATTTTTATAATTCCTATTATATTGTTTTGATATATGCCTTTTACCATATGTCGCTAAAACTTATTTTGTTACTTCCTTCTGTCTAGCAAAGATGAATCTTTTTCACCATTTCATTTTTTTTGTTATTTTTCTTCATAGGTTAAGAAATGACAATCGATAAGAGTTGGACATTGCAGACTAATAGGTTGTCACATGAATATAGAAATGGTAAGTCATAATGATGTTAAATATTATATTTTATGAATTCTATACATCAATTCTATTTTTTAAACGGATGGATCCGCTTACAAAAGAGCTATCGGGTCACATCAAGTTTTACTATGAGATGAATTGTAGCAATGAACGTGGGTGGACAACTAAAGAAGTGGAGTCCCATTATGTAAGTAATTTTACTTGTTATAATTGTAAAATAAATATTTCAAAAATCTAATATTTTATTTATAATTTGCATGGATCCTCAGAATCAAATGATCAACCTTTTACAAGAACAAAATTCTCAACTAGATCCGAATGAACAACCTATGCCTTTAGAAGAATCTGAAATTCGTGACTAAGTTTTGGGCAAGAGATTTATCCACGTTAATCAACAGAAAAGTTCAAAGAAGACAATGTTGGAAAATTGTGATACTTGTGCAGAGAATGCTACTTTATAGAATGAGGTTCAAGATCTTCGTTCTCAATTGAAATCTGTGCAGATATTCTTAAGTCGTATGTCTGAAGAGTTTCTTTGACATATTCAATCTGATGCGACTTCATCCAGTAGCTTAAGTGGTGATAATTAATATATTTTTTACTTGATTTTTGGTGACGTAGTAATGTTTATATATTTTTATTTGATTGAGGCAATAGTCTCTAACTCTACATCTATTTTTTTTATTTATTATTATTATTATTATTTTTTATGTTGAGAACATAATGATTGAATTGGATGTATTTTTTGTCTAAGTCATGATATTTGATATAATTAACATCTAGTTGTAGATGATGTTGGAATATTTTAATTGATTGAAGGTCCAAGAAAATTTTAGTTCTTGTTTATGTTCTTTATACTTGGATTCATTTACTTCTTATAATTGTTTATAGTTGTGAACAAAGTTTATTCGTAGTATGACGTGAATGTGTAAAAGTTATAGAATCATGAATATTACCACTGACGATCATAGTTCTCGTTATTTTAATATTTTGATTGTTAATATAAACGTTTTACAACCGCTTCTTTCGTTGTTGAAAATTAAGGCAACTAAATTTTAGTTGTTTCAACAATATTTTACACACACATATAATTAATGCAACGACAAATCAAGCAGTTGTTGAAATAAATTTAATTAGTTGTCTATACTAATTTTTAACAAGTATTTCTTTTGTTGTTGAAATGAAAGACAACTAAAATTTGGCTGCTTTTATTGTATTTTAACGACAAAAATAGTTATTAAACAACCAAACAATTCGTTGTTGAAAAATATAATCAATTGTCAATACAAACCTTTTACGACCAATTATTTAGTTGCTAAAATAATACAGTTAATGATCAAATGTATTTTTAGTCGTTGAATATAATCGCCAACACCTCTTTGCTGACCAACAAACGACCAACTGATGTTAGTCGTTGAATGTGATCAACAACCAAAAATGTACATTCTACGACCATTTATATGATTGTTGAAGGTGATATTTCCTGTGGTGCTTAAATGTCTTTTATTTTTATTAAAATCTGAAACTTTTGTAGAACGAAAATGAATAGAAGCAAGAAATGATGGAGAAGCTCTCTAGAAAATTGCGAAAATCTTGTCGAGCATCTCAATTCAATGACAACAACAATTTCTCTCTACTTGCTGCGACAATGGCCATCTGAGTGACACCCAAGGTTTCCAGTTATTCAATACTCAAAAGCTCATGTATTGTAATTGTGTGAATATCAATAATTGAGTGTTAACTGAATTTCTTTAGTTTTGAATTATCTATGTATCGTTAATTGTGTATATTTGATTATTTGTAGAGTAAGAGTAGCTTTTTCGATCTTTCGAGAAGAATCTAGCTCAGCCGGTCTTTTCTTTGGAAGTTATGAGTATGAATGATTATTCTAATATATTTTTTAAATTGTTTTTTAGTTCACTGAGTTGATACTGGTTTAATTCTTGTAGAGCATGTTTGCTAAACTACTTTTTTATTACACAGCTGTACTCATTTTCTCAATTTTTCAACAAGCTTATTATCCCTGGGAATTGTTAGTCTTTGAATTTTTATTGTAACACCATGCATATAGAATAGATGTTGATTAGGGTCTATAAAACTTGTCTATTTTGACGCATACTTATAGATAATTTTTATATGGAATTCCATTAGAAGTCCATTTTAGTAGGGTGAATAAGGCACGTGAGGTGAGCAATATCAAGTAAAATGCTAGGTTGACAAGATAAAAATTTATGAAAAAACACATGCTAAATTTTATTCTCAATGAACTTGTAGCTGGCTATTTGTATCCTTCTTCTTTCATACTGTCCAATACATTTAGAGTTTTAGATTTAGAGCCTGTTTGGGAGTGATTTTGAGCATTGATTTTTTGACCGTTAGGGGAAAAGTGAGGTCCACCTGTGAGAGAAGAAGTCAAATATGATGGCTGAAATAGTAAAATAACGGTCAAAAAATCAATTTTTTGGGGCAAAAAATCACTCCCAAACAGGCTCTTAGCAATATAGCAGTACGTTTACTGTTATGTCTAATGAAATAAAATCTTTTGCAAATTATGATAAATTGGGACTACTTCTCCCCTATGGTATTGATGTTGCAAGATTTTATGCAAAATTGGTGGTCCCTGCATCATCCAAGACCATAATTAGAACCAAACTTACTCATAATTGGGTTAATTATGCATCCTAAGCTCTTATCCAACATTATCGCTCTCATCCAAATGTGGTCGTGTGTATGAGTGTTGATCAGCTGGTGTAAGCAAATTAATAGTACGGAACTTTAAACAGACCATAAGATATAAGCATTTGTGGGCACTGCCATAAAGTACCATCACTACTTTTCTTATACACAAATGAAGGATGCACTACGATGTTTGAAAATATGTGCCTCGACATCCATAATTTGGTGAATAATCGATTAAGAAAAATTAATGGGAATATCAAAATCACATATTTAGTCAGATATTAAATTCTCTGTGTATGACGTCCATTGCCAGGAATGAATGCTAGAGGCGTCAACAAGGAAAAGGGAGTAAGCTTTTCTTAGTTCACCTTCATTCTGAAGTCGTGAGAGATTATAAGTAATGCTAGATTCTCTCACAAATTGGTCATTAATCCAAAACACATAAATCCTTCATTTTTAAAATATTGCATGAATGTTGAATATGTTATAACTTACAATAGAAGAACTAAAACTAAGTTGAAAGGGAATTATTTGTTCTAAAAACACGAAAATCAATTCAATTCTAATTCATATTAGTAGACATCATCTTGTTTCCCAAAAAAATGAAACCAAAACCTGAGTGGTAAGTATAAATTCAATTTTATGTCTTGATAATTTCACATGATAAGATTTGAAGAACATAGAGTTGAAAAAATAGTGGTATAAATTTATAATGTTGACCTTTTCTGATATGAGCCCCAGCCTTACATATCCTACCTATTATGGCTCATTTTTAGCTTGAAGTTCAATTTTAGTTTATTCTTTGGTCTAAAATTCGTTGTGGCCTGAGATTATATTAAGCTTGGTTTGAATTGGTTTCATTCTCTATCATAATGGACATTGGAAGGGTTGTTACACCTGTGTCATTCTCTGTGTTCATTTTTCTCGTTTCTATCCGATTAACAGCATTATCATGCATACTTCATATACGAGGTTGATTCGTGGAGCATCAGGTCTGCAGGTTTGGTTCTTCCTCTTAATTTTGTATTTCCATTTTCTTGATAGGTGAGTTTGTAGTCCATGTATTGCATACTGGGAATGATGTTATGAGTTCACTACTCAAATGGATTTTGTTTGTTACTATTTTCATCGGCAGCATTGCCTTGAAAATCATTTTTTTGTTTTAATTTATTTCAACCGTCGCGGTAATTTCTTATCGCTATATGCTTAGTCACTAAAGTTTAATTAAGTTTTCTTATAATTTTTGTTGCATAAATTATTTATATATATGCTTTCTCATACTATTCATGCAATTTAACTCTCCCAGTTGATGCTTCCTAAATAAATCTATGGAAAATATGCAAAGAAAGATATTGAATAACCAATTCAATCTGTCAACGAAAGTACAAATTCTTATTCTTGTCTTTAAAAGATTAAGGTTGCTTTGCATTCTATGCTTCCCTCTATTAACTTCAGAATTCAAACAAAGCAATGTCAAGGTCTTGTGCAATGATCACATTTTTTTCTTGGTGGTTTAGGAGGAGAGAAGATCTCTTGAACTATGTTTAGGTGTTTGCCTACCTACGGATTATGATTATCTTCCATCAATTAGCAAGAACACATTCCATTAAATATCTTATTATTCATTTCCACTCTGATTGAGTTTACATCCATGCTACAGATAGGCAAAGTTTAAGTGGGATATCTCACGGCTTCCTTTTGGGCCATTGAGGTAAACTATAGTGGGATATAAATTGATGGTGACATATACAGTGGTCATTGAAGTTCTCAAGCATACGGTAATTTGAATTAAGCTTTAAAAAACATGCACAACTGGATTTACATGCCATCAATTTATATATAGAAGTGCTTGTATTTTCATATTATGTTGTCAACTGTGCCTAAGATGATGAGATTATAATTGTCATGTGGATGCATAATGTATGTTTATTAGAATGTGAATTTGTTAAAAAAATATTTAATTAAAATCTTGCAAAATGGTCTTTACAACTAAAAATATTAAGTTTAGATATGCATGTCCCCGTCTATTTGGTCATGTTAAATCTGATTACTTTTATGAAAAAAGAAAAGAAAAAATTTGATCTATTATTCATATGACAATTGATTTACTATTGCTTTTTGTAGGGATACATTTCTGAAGATTGAGGCTGGTGAAAGTCCAAATTACAGGAATGATAAAATTCTGTTCTCTACGTTATCAGTTTCTTGGGGCCTTTTCCACACTATGAGATTTTGAATTGTGATTTTGTTGGATTTTTTTGGCAAAATTTACAACTATTGTCAAAGAGAGCTTAATTCAGAAATTTGATCTCATCAATCGATACTCTAAGCCTCGTTTTAACAGCTAAACATGCATTGAAAATATTGACATGCATGTATGACATATATTGCCTGAAGTCTGCTTACAATATGGTTTTAATTTGTATGCATGTAATTCCTCCTTGAAAAAAGAGGATGAATCGAAATATAGTTGCTACAACAAAACTAGGGAGGGGTTTACATCAATTTTTAACTTATTGGTTTAGGGTTCAAAAAACATAGTGGTTTAGATGAATTCATCTAAATCAGATTAATCTTTTTACATATGGTATGCGTTCCTAAGAATTGAAGGCAAACCATTACCCTTCGTATTTGCATATATCTTTCGATATTCTTTTTGTGTTTACATTTTATTTCTTAATCTTTTCATAAATGTGTCGAAATAGGTATGTCGAATTTGATGGATCTAAATGCATTCAATCCCAATTTAGGGTGTTTGAACCCAATTTTTTTTATTAAAAAAAAAAGGTTTGTAATAGTAAATTTTTTTGGAGAATTTGTAACTGAAAAGTAGGAAAAAAGTTTGAGTTTACAAGTAAAATTATTTCATTAAAAAATATAAGTTACAAACGAGTTTAAGAAAAAATGAATTTTTATATAATTGGGGCCCACTGCCATCGTTAAGATGGACATAAACCAAATGGATGATTTTATCTCTCTCTTTTTTTCCCCTCATTTTTTTTATGGTACGATTTAAATTAGCTTGTATTGATGGAAAAAAGAAAATCTAGATATTTCTATCGATCATCTTCCAGTTATCTTGATAATTTGCTTATAAAATAAAATAAAATAATTACACTTGTCTCATATTTTTCTAGCAAATGAATGACCAGATTGGTCCACATATCTCATCGGGCTAGAAAATTGAGAGCATGGTGCATCTATTATGAAAAATTCTATAAGTACAGGCCTTTTCACAGATTTTTGTGTTTGGCAGCAGTCAATCATAGGGAGACAGTCTTCTTATATAAAATATGTGAAAAATCCTACTTATAGCATTTCTCATCTTTTATTGCAGATCGACTCCTCTAACACGATTGGATTGGATCGAATCGGTTTTAAACCAAATTAAATCGTATTAGCTTGGCCAGTCCGCTCGTTTTGACACCAATCGCACCTTGTACTTATAGCATTTCTCATCTTTTATTGTAGATCAACTCCTCTAACACGATTTGATTGGATCCAATCGGTTTTAAATCAGATGAAACCGTACTAGCTTGGCCAATCCGCTTGTTTTGACACCAATCGCACCTTGTACTTATAGCATTTCTCATCATTTATTGCAAATCAACTCCTCTAACATGATTTGATAGGATCCAATTGGTTTTCGACCGGATTAAATCGCACTAAACTTGGCCAGCCCGCTCGTTTTGACACCAAACCCTTTTGCTTACTTTTACTATCTACCAAACATACCCTTAACATCTCACGATTTTACATCAACGTTGGATTTTATTGTAGGGGTAAGATTAGTGGGTCCTCGGAAAATACAAAAAGAGGTAGAGAGAGGAAGTCTGATTCCTTTTTTGTGCTAATCGATATTGCATATGCACAATCTGAATCTGAATCCATTGCTTAATGAAGCTGTTGCTCCGATCTTTGTCTTTTTCGGATGGACTCTCCAATTCATATAATCTACGCCGATCTGATCGATTTTCGTAATCCTTTTGTTTTCTGATTTATTGAAGTGAGAGTAAAGGAGATTTTGTTTGTCTTTTGTATTTTAAATTGCATTTATTAGTGGATATTTTCGATCGTCGACTTCTGAAGGGAGGGAAAATGAACGGGGGTGATGATGGAGGTCGGTGGCTTCTTCGGCGGGTCCTCAGCCTCCGCTAGATTGGAAATTTTCTCAGATCTTTGGCGAGCGCACTGCTGGCTAAGTGCAAGAAGGTAAATAATCTGCTTAGTTAAATGGAAAAGTGAATTAAACCGCACACTTTGTGTTTAAATCTTGTGATTAGGGTCTGGTTATGTGAATTATATCTGTTTTCTGGATGACAATTAGTTGTGGAACTCCATTATGTATTAATTGTCTGAATGGATTTAGGTTAGGGATTTCAGCGAACTGTGGTGAACTCAATTGAGTTAAATGTTCGTTTGATTTTAGTGTTCAAACTTCATTCCACGATTTGGGCACTATGATTGCAACGCCAAGGCACTGACTCTGGGGTTAAATTCTTCTTCTTCTTCTTCTTCTTTTTTTTTATCTCTCGTAGCACCCAGGCACTACGAATGCAATGCCAAGACGCTGCCTTTCTGTTCCAATTTCGTTATTTTTGGCCCCTTCGTCCACTTGAGTACCTCTTTTCACATAGTCTTTCCGAATCTTCAAAAGAACACTAACAAAAATATCAAAAAGTTCTATACTCACAGGATTTGACAAATAATTAAGCTAAAATTGTGTTAAAATTGTGAGGGAAACACACTCATCAAATACCTCCAAACTTAATCGTTTGCTAATCCTCGAGCAAACAAACATATCGAACAATAAAATCACTAAAGGATGATACACACACAAATAGTTGGTTAGACAACTCTTCTTTTTTGGCTCAGCATTGAGAATATTATATCACATTTATGAATGGTGTCAAAATCACAATGCAAGAACCAAACTTCCATTCATAAAATGCAAAGCGGGTGTGTGTGTGAAGGATCAAGTATAACGTCGTACATTCACAAGTTGGTTCACTTCTCAACCCTCAGTGGTCAATTATTTCCTTTCTTCGCTTGTGAGAGTCATACACCCCAAACTCTTTTCTTGTATTCTTTCACCATGATGTAATTCTAAAGTTCTGTTTCACTTTGGATTTCCTCACACCACTCTAATTTGGTTTAGTTCAACCGACAACGTCAATAATTTATTCATGTAGTGATTCCCTCAATTTATAAGTGTTTCAACAATCTAGTTTATACTTAGTGATTCAAGCCCACTAGTTATCAATACCCCTAAGATTATTATTATTATTATTTATAACCTCCTTCTCATAGCACCCGTTCTTTGCATTTTATAACTTGAGCTCCATCCAATATGTACGCTTAATGTAGCCTTCCATTGGAAATTCTCCTAAAAAAAATAAAAGAAAGTGTTATTACTTTAGCGTAAAGTATCAAAAGAATAATGAAATTAAAACAAAAGCTAATAATCAAATAAATGGTAGAGCTTGGGTTGCCTCCTAAATAACGCTTTTTTTAAGTTATTAGCTGGACTTGGTACTACGGTTATTCTAGAACAGCCAGTTCAAGGCTCTCTTTGGCGATGGAAAACTCTTCTATGTAGTGCTTGATGCGTTGACCGTTAACTTTGAAATTTCTCTTTGTTGGGTGGTGCAATTCAACTGTGCCATAAGGAAATACTTGGGCAACCGTAAACGGTCCAGACCACTTGGATTTTAACTTTTCTGGGAAGAGTTTAAGCCTGGAGTTCTACATTAGCACTTGATCTCCTACTCTGAAAATTTGTTGCCTAATATTTTTATCATGCCACTGTTTTGTCCTCTCTTTGTAAATAGATGCATTCTCGTAAGCTTCTTTTCTGAATTCTTCCAATTTATGCAACTGTAGAATTCCTGTTTATCCAGCCTTTTCAAGGTCCTTGTTCCACTGCTTCAACGTCCAGTATGCTTTGTGCTCAAACTCCACTGGTATGTGGTATGCTTTTCCAAAGATTGGTCGATATGGGGACATGCCAATAGGTGTATTGTACGCTGTGCAATATACCCATAAAGTATCGTCTAATTTCTTTGACCAGTCTTTTCGAGATGCGTTCACAGTGAGTTCCAGAATTCTTTTCAATTGTCTGTTAGAGGTTTACATCTGTCTACTTGTCTGAGGGTGATAATGAGTGGCGATTCGATGCTGTATCACATGCTTATGCAACACTATCTGGAATAATATGTTGTGGAAGTGAGTTCCACCATTACTTATTATGTCACTAAATGATCTATAGCAGTTAAATATATGTTTCTTTATGAAGTCTACTACTACCCTTGCATCATTTGTAGGTAATGCTTTAGCTTCCACCCATTTAGAGACATAGTCCACTGTCACTAGAATGTACCAATTGTTGTAAGCTGATAGAAAAGACCCATAAAATCAACCCCCCATACATCAAATATTTCCACCTCCAGAATATTGTTAAGTGGTGTCTCGTGACGAGCTAATTTGTTACCCGTTCTTTGACACTTATCACATGACCTACTGAAACTGTGGCAGTCCTTGAACAACATAGGCCAAAAGAAACCACATCGAAGCACCTTTGCTGCTGTTTTAGTGCGGCCAAAGTGTCCCCCATAAGTCGAAGCGTGAACCCGTGAAAGGATCGATTTCATCTCATCCTCTAGCACATATCTCCTGATGATCTGGTCTGCCACTGTCCTGTATAAATTTGGA